CCCAGGCGATTTGAGGCACCCAGTAGAACTGAGCAAGACGTGCGATTTCTGGTGCATCCACAATGACTGAAAGTGGTGCAGCATAGTCTGGACATGTCTGTCCTGCAACTCAGAACTACCCAGTCACTTGCTCACCAGAATGCCAACGAATCCCAAATTGCCTGCAAAAGAAGCACAACGAGGTCGAGAAACGGAAGACCTCACTGCCACTTTGCGTTTACAAGATATCAAAGACAGCTTACTGGGTCTTCGATTCGGGTGAACCAAATAATGAGAATTTCTAGAGCCAAAAATGACGATCACAACATGGAGTAGTAAGTCTTCACGTGCAGCTTCCAAAAAGATGAGGGCTCTTTTCTGGGGAATCTACGTTGTTACCTTCAGGATTGCAGCATATTGGGTCTATGTTGAGGCCGCCTTGTTATGGAAACCAACGCATTGCCGTAGATCAATGTTGAGATCTTCGTGAAGGGTGGTTGCTATGGGCGTGTCTCACTGGGTTGTGGGAAATGGAGGAATGGATCCCTTAGCCCCTATGTAATCCCCAACCATATAGCAGTTACCAATCTTCCCTTCCATTGCTTCATCCGATACTGACAACCAGCAAGATAACCTTAAACCCTACATACGCAGATAAAACCCAGGTTCGAGTTCGTTTCCATTTGGTTTGCTGTCTGACGTTCCATTCCCGTATAACCGACCTTAACCCAGTTAGTTAAATCGTACATCGTCATCGACCCTATATCCCCCCTAAACCCGCCTCCTGAGTGGCTCATCTTTGGGCATTTCTTGATAGCTTCCAAGAGCTCTCGTAGAAGATCGACGGTGCACCAGGAATTATTGCAGGGTCGGAATTTGGGTAGAAATTGTTGTCGACAAAACCTGCCCGCGGCCCCGCCCCAATTGTCCCGTCTTCAGTGGGCAATCTCCCAGACATGAGAAAAATCCCTGCAGTTTCTCTTCAGAGGCCGGCCACTTTGCCAAGGCGGCCATCCATGCTACTTGTGGAGGTTGGAAGTTCTGAGGGCACATCTGAATCCACTGCAAGCATTCGCATCTGGACTGGACCCAGACAGCACGTTGCCGCAACCTCCTTGGTTAAATTGTGCTCCGCAACCTGCAAAGCATCACCCATTGACAAGGGCACCAATAGCTTGAGGGCGCAACAGTTGTAGATGATGATGAGCCCAAGCACCAGGGCACCGTAGAAGCGTGTATACCTTAGAGGAGTCAACAAAGGCAGGTTGGCTTTGCACTGACTCTTGAGCCATAGTGGCTTGAGTCTAGCCTGTATGGCAACAGACACATCATGCAAGCATTGCGAATCGGCATGCTGATTTTTCAGGCGGGTCCAGAAAGGGCCGTCTTTCGCCGTTGTTGATCATGACCATGAAAGTGTGGACGTGTAGCAGCGTAGCAGAAGGACAACAGGCTTTGACGACTTGAAGGGTTGGTAACATCAAAAGTGCTGCCACGTCTCGTGAAAAGTGGGACACGGTGATTCCCAAAAGAATCCGAAAGACACCTGCTGCACCTCACAAGCCCTGAGGGCAGCAGGTACTCCAATATAAAGATGCTCATCCAGGAAAGCGCCTTTGAATAAAGACCTGAGAAGGCAAATGTTGAGCCAACTAGGCCTAGCACAACTGTATGCAGCAGGCATTCCATTTCCTTTAACAGATTTGCTCTCTACAGTGTCTTATCCTTGCCAAACCCTGATGCAGTCCGAACGGCTTCGCCTGTGCAGTGAGAGAACGTAGAACATTGAGTGAGACTGGTTTGACAAATGTGGTGGACATTTCAGTGGCACTGTCAACAGGAAAGTTGCAATGCCACCACCACGGAAAGAACTGAATTGCAGGTTGTTGCTCTGCATTCGGGCTGCAAGTCATGCAGGCCGATCAGTGATTCTTCAAAGGGCACTTGACGCACTGTACAAGCCGAACAAACCAAACCGCCACGCATTGTTGCAAGGCATGCGACAACGACGCGGAAGAACCTGCAGGCGCTCACTCCTGCCAATGCGTCGTTTGGAAATTGCCTGACTTGCAGGTTTTACTTCCAGCCAGCATGTTAGCAATGTTAGCATGCCTACGTGGCCGGAAGGTCGTGACCTAAAGATCTTCCAAAACGCAAGGAGCTCTCAAATATCATTTCAAGTTGAATCGTTCAACGTCCCGCCGCAACTCAAACAAAGGCTGCTGGAAGCGCTAGGAGGTCTCTGGGAATTCTGGAGTCTAGCTTTTTGGAGACTAACGTCCTTGTCACATACCACTGAAACTCTCTGGCTGACAGGGGCCTTGGTTCTTAGACGTTGCGATGGAAAGCATTGCGAGCTGTAGTAGCCAAAGCGAGGAGCAAGTCCGGACAAGATTTCCATAATCAGTCTATGGAAGGATCAGTTGCACTGTCCAGTTTCCAGTGTGAACTTTGGCGGCTTCTGCCTGTGCAAGTGGAAGCCAGGGCGATGATGAGAAATGGATCTGTACTGCGCGACTTCTGCTGGGACTCTGCAGGAGCGTCTGCAAGGCTTGCGGGCAAGCTTGTTAAAGCCTTTGAGGTTGACAGGGCGCTAGGAAAAAAGCGTTAGGTTGGCTGTGGGATGTTATTCGGGGCCTTGGTTTGCTGGGATGGCCTAGCCCTTCTGTGGAATCAAACGGCAGCAAGGCACAGATGGCCTACACGAGTGGATTAGATAACAGCGAAATCTGGTGCAGAGTTTGCAAATTTCCGGTCACGAATGCTGGCAGGCACGGGAGATCGTGCACGGCGTCGGTTGGCAGGAAGCAGGCGCAGTCGTACAGCCACGTCTCGTCTTCTTCAAGGACCAAACAACTTTGGGGATTTCAGCCAAACTGTCCAGCCCTCGCTGCTGCGGCGAAGCTTGGACTAATGGAAACGATCTTTGGACTAATGGGGCCAAGCCTGGACTATGGGAACAATCCCTGAATATACACTCTCAAAATTGGACATGCCTACTCAGGGCACGAGGCAGCAAAAATACAACCCCGCTATAAAGCTGAGCCAGCCAGCAGAAAAGAAGCCTCTCACAAGAAAATTTGCCTCAAAGTGTAGCAGGCGCAGTAATTTGGAGGGTCGGCGTCATCACGGTTTTTGCGCGTTTACACCCCCCGAACCACAAATGACAGATAAGGTGCATGACAAATCGTTGCTTGTTGCAGCACCTGGTTTTCCCAAATGCGACCATTCTGACGCGATTCAGTGCGGACGCACATCTAGTCATCTAGCCATTGTTATGTGTTCGACACGTGTTCTTCTTCTTTTTAGCGGGTGCCGCCTTTGGAACTGAAGCCTTAAGTACTTGGATTCCTTATCCGACGGGCCTTCCAATCTTAGCAGGCCGCTTGAACGTGTTTCAGAGGATCTGCCCTCAAGTACAGGGTCGATCGGTTTTCCGGGAAGCATCATCAGCAAAATCCCCTTGGGCATGCAACGCGGTACAAATGTAAAGCAGGATTTTGAGACCGACCCTTCCATGTTGATGGCAAAGGTGAAATAGACCCAAGATGCTGAAGCTGGCGTGGTCTTCATTGCATCAGCAAGGTAGCAGACAGTGACGAGCGGCATTTACAGCTGAGCTCGAGCAACCGCAAATTCTGCGGGACTGTGCGGTTCCGAGACTGGAATGGCACCGCAGCGCGCGAGACTGCGACCGAACCCTACGAGCCCAAAAGCATGAGACTCGAAAGAAAATGAAACCAAGATGGTGGTCAACTTGAACACCTAGGAACATGGGTGATATGGGGATAATGGAAAGAAAATGGAACTTACAGAGATTATAGGGATTATTTGGACTATACAGGGGTTGTATGGGGATAATGGAAAAGAACATGGAAACTACTATAATGGGGATATTGGGTTTAGCGTTTAGGGTTCCCGCAGGCTGCTTTGGGAAAAACAAGGCATGTACAAAGAACCGCAAGTCTTAGCATGATGGCCTTCAGAACACCCCATAGTATCCTCAAGGGGTTTAGGGTTGGGCTTAAGGGTTGGGTTGCGCATTTAGGGCTCAAAGCGCAACAGCATCATGCGAGAACTTTCTTTGAGAGTCTTGTGTCTGCATCTATTGTGGGCCAACTATCTCCTCAAATCTCAGCCAAGCTGGCTTACCATTAATATGTTTACTTGTCTTCATTTTATTGCTACTATTAGTACTACTACTTGAATTTTCATCGGCGGTTAGGAACGCCAAGTGATGGTTTCATCAGCTCGTTTTGCTTCGCATCAACAGCAGTTCAGAGCCAACGACAAGCGCATATTTATGATATTGTGAGCGCTCACTCGGGAAACACACTTGAGACAGTTATTCATTACCTGAACTGTCTTGGAGGATTGATTGCATTTTATGGGTTGATGTGCACTTTGAGGTGCCGCGCTTTGAAAACTTTACAATGGATGTCTAGGTTCTCAGGAACAGGATGTCACAGGTACAGACTCTCAGAAGGAGATTGGGTGACTTCCCAGTTGAGTCTTGAAGGTACACACAAGTGCATGCCTTCATTTTTCCAAGGCACTCGTCATAGCGCTGGCTACTTCGAAACCTGGCAAACAAAGCTTGCCGCCGTGGACACTCACAATTTTCAGATACTTGCTATTCACTCGCCAAGGACATCACTGCAACTGGCCTGCACTGCTTTTCTAATAATGTTCTCGAACTCATCGTACGAGCAGGATGGCATGAGCTTGTCATCATATAGTTTGGAGCGAGGTGGCATACATGAAGTAGATATGAGGTGGAGTGGCCGAGCAAAGTTGCTCCTGCCAGAGATTCGCAGACACTGTAGCTTGTCGCCAAGCCAACATACATACAACAGAGCATGCCTGCAAGAATAAAGCACACCAAGACATCGATCAGCATCGCATAGAACCACAAGTGGTTTTTGTTGATGTACATACTGCCTTACAATTGCACAGCTAGCAGCTGAGCAGCATGCCGTGGAATTGCTGCTCAGGCAAGACAGAACAGATTGCCAAGCCACGCTTCCACCACCCGCGTCAGAAGGGCCGCGTGGATTGCGGTTGCTTGATCTTCATCAATTCCGGCCTTGCGCAAGTGCCTCTCAAAAACCATCCTGGTAATGTCTGGCTCCATGGCCTCAGCTCATAGCTCAGGATCTCTCACTCATCAGCATGGCAAATGGCTATTCACCATGGAAACACCACTAGCATTGATAATTGAAATCATGCATGACCTTACTGTAATGTAGTAGTATTATTTCCAATCTATAACGTACCTAGGGTTATGCAGGATGTTAGCATTATCCACCATAGTAAGACGACGACCAAGATGATGTCCACAGACTTTGCAAGTTCATCTGGCCTCACAGGTTTGAGCTTCAGCACCCTCAGCTTTCTGGTTGTCAGAGAATAAAGGAGTACTTTGGATGGGTATTATACAGGGATGATATAGTGAGTATATAGGAATATATAGGGATAATATTCCCTCATCCCCTAGAACCAGTAAGCTTAGCCCGAAAAAGCTTCGGCTTTGGCTGTGCCGCCTGCAATAGCTAAGTAGCTTCAGGCCAAGCAGGCAGGATAGGCCGCGCAAACCTTCCCTTATCGGTTTCCGTACTACCCCTCTCTATACTAACCCCCTTCTAGGTTCCCCCTGAATTAACCTTAATTAGGCCTTAAATATCTAGGGATAAATGTGCCTAATTAAGGTTAACTAAGGGGGTAGTAGGGGTAACCCATGATTCCCTGTACCTCCAACCCACCGCCCTCCTTCCCTCCGAGCTCGGGTTCCGAGTATACAAAAACTGAATTTGCTGTCGTCATTGCAAAATCATGGCCTGCTAAAATGCTGACATGAGAAACGAGTGCAGGAATTTGTGTTCTTTAATCAGTGTCTGTGCAGCATGTTTCATGATCCTAGCCTACAAGGCGCAACAACATCGGATCTTGCGAAATCTAGTCTGACTTTGTGGACATCGTAGGCTTTGTGCCAGAAAAACTCATGTGGCATCTGACCTGGACGTCGTAGAACCGCAAGTCTCGCGTCTGCGAAACACTTGAGGCGCCTCTACGAGGAGGTCCTGTGTCCATACCACAAGGCTTCCGGTCGAGGGTAAGACAAACTTCTGACTCGACTAGGCGAATCCAAAACTGGGAAATCCCGCCTCGGCAGAGAGCATGTGACTGCCACTGCTGTCGGAATCTGTCATCTTTGCCTACGTCGCGTCTTCCCAACATATACCATATCATAATCCTAATATACACCCCAATATACTATAGTAGTTTCCATTTTCTTTTCCATTATCCCTATATAACCCATATATTATACCCTCTTACTTCCAAGGATATTTTTTCAACTTTGATACGCAGCGAGTCCAAACCTCGCAGGTGAGTCTTCCAAGGAAAACTGCAGCGGGATGCAGCGGGCACATCTCGCAGAGCCAAAAAGGTGCGGGGAATTGGATACACATCAGTGAATGCCATTCTGCATCCATGAACTTTTTGACCAAGAAAGCTTGCAACACCCTCAACAAACCAAATCCGCGCAGGCAAGAGCTCAAAAGCAGGATGGTTGTTCCATGTTGTTCCACTTCCTACTTCCTATGAAAACATGGCAGAAGGCGTCCAGCAGTGATTCTCTGCTAACAAACGTTCGGTGCCACTCTCTTCAGATGCAAGTCTGGGGTTGGCACAGCCAAGAAATTTCCCGCCGCACTGATTCCCATCCCTGCGCATACTGCAAGCTCAGGAGACTGGTTTGCTGGGGTGAGTGTATAGATGCCTAGTAAGCTCATGATGAGCCTCAGCAAAAGCCTCATGCCGCCGATGCCGCAGAATGATGAGGAGGTAGCGGGCCTGGCTTTTCAGAGTTGTAGCAGACAAATCTGCACATCCGTGTAACCGATAGAAGCCTCATGGAGCTCTGCACGTGTGCTTTCACATGCGAACTTGCAGTGGCTGCTCCCATTTCCCACGGCCCCGCCTCCAGAAAGGAGCAAAGCAGGAACTTGAAGAGCGCAACCATGGACATGGAGTTGAAAAGGTACTGCCATGTGAGTCTAAGCCGCCGCAACCAGGGAAGCATGAACACTACAGACCACAGCTAGAGAATCACGGCAATTGTGCCATGTACCTAGACCCTCAGCAGGCACCTGTGACGACAAGCCGAGGCAGAGATGGAGGAAAGAATCATAAGCATCCGTCAGCGCCTCCAAAGTGAGCTCACAAGTGGGTAAGGCCGAATCTGCGAAGAAACCGTTTGAGGTAAGATAAAATTCAGGGGTAAGGGCGTGGAGTGCCTGACTGGCATGGTGCATGAACATGGCCACTGCAAAATGACAATGCAAAGTAGAAGCGGGTGGCTCAGAGCAACTGCACAGCAAACTTCACTGGAAAACGAGGTAGGTTCCTGATGGCTCGATTTGGCATGAGATACCTGAAAAGAATCAAAAAGCTGATCAAACAATTTACCTCGCAACATAAGACGAAACCAAGCTGCAAGAGGAAGAATCACCTACTTGCAGCACCTTCACCGAACTGCCAGGGCGCCAACTCTTGTCAACAAGTTTTGCATGAGTAGCAGAATTTCGCCTAGTCTCATATCACTGAAGAGGCAGGCTGAAATGTGTCGAAGCCCATCTTTCAATGAAAGAAGAATGGTCCATGACTGCTCAGCACGCCTGCACAGCAATGCAGAGCATGGAGACCTTCCGAGCTGGCACATGGCCACATGTCTCTTGGAGTTGCAATCGAAACTAAAATGCATGCGGCTGTCTCAGAATATGTGGGGACAGGACTTCCGTGCAGCTCACAGATCCCATACTTTCAAATTGGCTGGCCTTAGAGACTGCTGGACCATCGTCAGCTTCGTTCATCTGATTCAGGAAGCACCTCACAATGGTAGCGGAGAATACTGCTGTCCAACACGCGGCAAAGCACAGTCAAAGAATAGAAAGACACGTGGCAGCTTGCATGCGCGCCTGATCTGCCAGACGCAGAGAATGTTCACCCTGACACAGAGACGCACCCGAACAGTAAATTGGACTTTGCAGAGCATTTTTGAAAAGTATCGATAACATAGGAGTTCGAGGCTTGTGCACTGGCCAAATGCACTACGCAAATTAGAAATTCTTAAGGGAGAATACAAAGAAGATTCCGATGGGCTTCTACCTGCTGGGATTACTTTGCAAAGATTACTGCGGAGATGCTGGCGAGAGTCACGGAAATTAGCTTCTAAGAAGAGCATAAACACATCAAAACGCGGCTGCAAAGGTCAACTGAAAAAGGGAACCTGCACGGATGACGTGAGAATTATTCATCGCGCTGATAAGACGAAGACTGTGGATTGTGGCAAGGTGAAAACATGACCGAGGATATTGCGTCCCGTATTTCCCCAGCAAGCTCTTTCCCTTGCAATGGCTGCTAACAAGAAAGCAATGAAAGTATGGTCTGGTCCAATTATGGAGGATATTGTTGGATTATACCACAAGCACTCAACTATAGGCGCTGAAGCTGAGGACAGGGCCATATGGAGTAGTGAAGCACCTGCTACGTCAAGCACTAGTAGCAGCTGCTTCTGCTCTTCATCTGCCCTCCATGCACAGGCCTTCTCCTTGTGAGTGCTACGTAAGCTTTGCTCTACACTATGATAGGAAAGAAGTTGTCTTTACGTTCAGCAAACACTAGAATAGAGGCACACCTTGTTGGAGAGGAACTCCCTGTCCACGACGTTGCTGGTGAAGCGCAACCGAAATCCACAACTTTCACCGAGAACCTGACGGCTGCAAAATAATCCATCCGCAGTTTCTGCTACAAGCATCTGCCAACCCAGGATTCGCAAAAAAAGACTGGTTGACAATCAAGAGTTCTGTCAGCAAAGACACAACCTACAAAAGGTCTGAAGTCATGTAGGGGTTTCCCGAAGTTGGGGATACTTGCAATCTAGCATTTTGGGGTCTAGATTGGGGTTCCCCATATTTAGGAAAACTGTCATGTCAAACGAGAAGCCTCACCGGAAATTCTTGCCGCGGAAGGATGTTCTCCCAGGAATTGTGGGTTTGACACCTGATTTTCTCAGAAGGACATTGAGGTTTAGATAGGGTTTATTGAGAAGGACATACAAGGAATTACTGGGCGATATGGGGTGGAGAGATATATAGGCATGATATTAAAGAAAATGGAACATGGTGTATTAGGACAAGGTATATATACCGGGGTTATACATATACATATATACAGGCTTTAGAGGCATAACGTTTAGGGATATATACCCCATACTGGAAAATCAAATGGAAAAACAGAATGTGGAAAATGAAATGAAGCCAGTTGTTTGTGGCTCTATAGGACTTGTAGTTTGCAACTTTTTTGCAATCAAACCCCTCCAAGCCCACAACCTCGAAGCCAGTGTCCAGATATGCCTGGACCACACAAGACCTGCACAGCTGTAGAATCGAGTAGCAGCAGTCTAGTGAAAAGAAGGCAGCGTCAGTTCATGAGTATGTTTGCCAAAACGCTCCAGTAGTCTAGAAAATGCTTCTCCTGCCACCATGTCAAACTCAGCTTGACCTAGCTCTCGCAGTCTGACCTAAGCTATAGTCTAAACTCCTAGTATCCCCGTAGTAACCCCGATGATGCTCCCTATATAATCCCCTATATGACCCCTTTTGATGAGTTTAGACTACAGCTCACCTGGCTCCGAAGTGCCGAAAAGTCCTGCACAAGACTGGCGCTCACAAGCAACTTCAGTGGCAGCCTCACAGCTAGCGCTCAGTTCATAACTTGCTGGGAGTTTGTAGGGAATAAGGGAATATGTTAGATGGGCACTACTTGACGCTTATTCCCTACTAACCACCACCAGTAAGATAAAAGCAATGCCAGTGTCAATTCCGTCCTTGGATCTGTGTTGCCAATTGCAATGGCCCTGCGAAGGGACTTCAACATGTTTTGGGGTTTCAACCAACCGACGGCACCTAAAAAAGAAAACCGCTGCTATGACTATTGTTATGACTGTTGTTCTTATTGTTACTTTGTTATTATCTGACCTTTTATGCGCGATGCGGAAAGCGCATGCTTGGCACTCCCCAGCCACATGACAAATGGGAGCAAGGAGCTTGCAATACGAAATATGCGCTGGACTCGCAGCCACGCACGGCTGCAGCAAGGAAACTGTAGGGCAGGCGCCACATGGGCCTGCATATGAGCCATAGTCTAAACTCCTAGTATGTCCCGCCATCTCCCAGAATACTCCCCATATAATCCCCTTCATAAAGCCTTTGGGGGGTTTAGACCCTAACCCTAATCCCTAACACCTATTTAACCGCCTTTAAGGACTTTAGACTATGGCTCATATCTGGTGGTTAGCCTCTGCCCGCTTGCATGCGCTCACGAGCGCTGAACGGCAAATGGCTGTCGGAGCCTGTCTTCCTGGATCAAGCCAATATGGGCATTATGGGGGTCTGGGATTTTGGGTTTAGCGGGTTCTCTAAAATGAGGGGTTCCGTTTTTGGGAGGGATCTCATACTAAGCATTGTAACATATTTAGGTCTTCCTTGGGGTCCCCCATTCATGGAAACTACCATATCACCGCCACCAGGCAAAAACATGCAGCTTCACAACGCGTGTCCTTCGCTTCTTCTCCTTCTCGCTTACTTTGTACAGCGACTTGTGCTTCTCCTGCCATCTGCAAACAAACAAAAACTATGCTGTTTGATATTCCTGGTACGCGTAAACGTGATCATGTAGGCAGGTTGAAATAGAACTACCCGCCTTAAGTCATGCAGCAGAAAATGGACAGTAAAGCAACAATCCGCCCCGCAAGCCACAAAAATGTTTATCTTCGAGCGGCCTTCTTCTCCTTTGGCTGGCTGTCCTGGCAAGTTAGTTTTTCATTGCTTCCATGCGGCTGCAATTCCCCTGGGTGAAAAAACCGTCCCCGGTTGACCACCTTCTCAAGCTTATCAGCAGCCGACAGCATTTCGTGCGGCCTCAGTCAAGTCGACACCGCATAAGTGACTAGGAGCAAATGTTGTGCAGAGCCTGCCTACAAGAAAAAAACAGAGGCTCGCATTCCGGCAGAGACAGGCCCTTCCGTACCATCAAGCCTGGTTCTGTTTCAAGGTTGAAAGCCTTTGGATCCCAGCTTGATGCCGAATCTCTGCATCCACCGCCTCCTCTCCTCCTGCACAGCTCTCCAGCACGGTTCATCGTAACTTCTAGGATAAGCTGCAAGGACTGTGCTTGGAACCAGGTTTTGCCACCATTTGCCACCTTGTCCATGCCCGAGAAGTCCGGTCTCTCAGGCGGTTGGTTGGGATCCTCAGGCTGGACTTTTTCCCTCTCACAGCATTGAAGGTGCATATTGAAAGACACTTCGGCGCAGTCAGTAGCATTATTGACAAATGCAACAGAAAGGCGTGATTTCTATCTAGGTTTCTAGTCACTTTGTAGGTTTGGCCTGGGTGCTGGGTTGATTGCTAGTCCACTCGCACGCGTCCCCAGGATCTGGAGCCGGTCCCACTACGGCGTTTAGCATTTTGTTGCAAACCCTGGCCTAACCCAAGCCCCCCGCCCCAGCCTCCGCACCAGCCTCACTCCCAGCCCCCCCAGTTTTTTGTCGCACCTCACCGCAAAGGCGGCACTCGCACCAGCGATTGAACTGCGCTGTCAGACTGTCTGATGAGGCTCCTTGCGCAAGGAACCGTGAGGCACCCTGGCCTCCACTTTGACAGGCTTCTCTGCCCAGGGTGACGGCGTAGCGTCGTCAGCATCTGTGGGCATGGCCTGCCCAGCCAGCTGGCACTAAATGCAGTCAGAAAGTCTAGGCTCAGCGCCTGTGGGTCCAAATCAAGCCCGTGGAGCCACTTTTGAGGCTTAGCCAGCGCCTCTAGCTCCTCGCAAGATGCACCCAGCTCGAAAATGCCAGCCGCCATTCTCCAAAAAGCAACAGAACAACGGCAAGACAACGTGCTGAGTCCTCTGGCTTCTTGTAGCCTCAGGGGATGAAAAAGCATGTGAGCTGATGTTACTGAAGGCACATGAAGGCACTTTCATCTTCCTCCATGCAACACGGAAGCAAAAGATGCGTTTGGTCACAGTGGCGAAGAGCAGCGAATCCATGCTCGGTCAAAATGTCAACAGGTGAGCAGGCTGGGACCACTGATCTTGTTTAAGTCAACAGCACCTCTTGACTCAGACAACCTCTGTCCAGTCAAGCTGCTCCGTGCAGACGGATACACCATGCTATGAAAAGAGCTGCCTGTGGCAAAATCTGTGCCTGACTTGTCCTTGCTCACTAGGTCACTAGGTGTTCTTCTTGTATACAGCTAAGAGCGCAGCTGTACTTGCGTTGCGCATCGAGCGCCTCATTGACACCTGGCCTGCTGCCATCGACACTGCCTGAGCTGTATGCAGGTTGCATGCGAGCATCCACCAGATTACTCCAGCACTTGGGAAAGGGCCGAGCGTGATCATCCGGCACACGCCACACTTCAGCGTTCCGGTGGACGCTTCGACCTGAATTGGCGTTCTCGAGTGGCTTGATGACCGGTTCTTATAACTGCTGGTGTCTCTTTCAAACATGAAGAACAACATCAAAAACGTCCGAGTATTCCGAAACAACGCGTAGGGCCATCAACCTGTTCTTCACCAACGGCGTGGGACAGTATGTTGCCGACAAAATCAAACAGTCTCATGATACACACCTTGGTGCCAGCCACAGGCTACGGGAGCTTCTTGGCGCTTTTGAGGTTTACGCATCTCTCTCGCCAATACATCCGCACAGCTGAATCATCCACTTGAAACATCTTGCTTAAGAGACTATATCGCTTATGCATGGCAGCACTGCGACTCTACCAATCGCTACAGCAAAAGAAAGCACTCCGGCGAAAATGCATGGCGAAATCCTGGCGCCCACACGAAAGTCTTATAAATCACTCCGCAACTAACATTCCTTATGGGCAAAACTTGTTGTGGGCAGATGGAGGTCTGTTTCAGAAATGTTCAGCTCGTGGATTCTGGCTTGCTTTGGTCCTGTCTTCTGCACTGATTTCTGCTCTGCTTGTTTCGGATTCCCAGTGTTGGTTGGATTGGCAGGTCTGGTGGCGGTGTCCCACGTTGATGTGTCAGCCGTCAGACCTCCACTGATTGTCCGCACAAGGACGGTCGCAATCCTGACTTAGCACACGCATCAACTCCCGCAGCACGGATGCGCACCTCTCCACGTCGCTCGTGGCGCCAGGGCGCTCGCCGCCAGAAGACTCCGCCCAGTCCTACCTTACAGCGGGTGTGAAGAGAATATCACTTCCTTGTCACAATCTTCAAAAACTGCAGATCAGCCGATGCGGGGCAGGGATCAAGCCTTTGGGTGGACGAGACCAGGCGCGAACGGGTGATAGCTCGGGCACATAAGGTGGCCTCAGAAGCTGCACATCAACCTCACAAATGCCGACCAACAAAATGACGGGCGCTCAACCGTCCCGTTCCTCCAGGCTGTTTTGAGGCAGCCAGTGAGCCCGACCATCCCAACCATCCACACTACCCTCAAATACCCATGAAGGTCTGTATACTCCCAGTTTCCATTTCATGTTGCAGTGTCTTGTCCGCTTGATTCAACGTTGTTGGGATACAATCCCTATCTGCAGACGGAATGGACCAAAACCGATCATCTCTGCGGTTCCGAGTGCTAACCATCCCCACCGCCCGGTAAGCAACGGCACATGGCCCAAAAAAGTCATTAAAACCACCGAGACCCTAAAGCCAAACAAAACATTGAACATCACAAAATCCCTCAACCGTCAAAAACCTTCAAAGCAGAATCTCCTCCAAATCCGGAAAACCTCAAAACTTGTACAATACAAACCCCACAACCCAAAACACCGTTGCATGTCCCATTCGGGTGCTAGAGGCCTTTATGATCTACAGTCCTTTCTTCGATCTGGACGCCCGCTGGGTTGATTTGTGGAATCGACTGGGGGGAAAACCATTCACCCGACAGCGCGGGGTACAGCACAAATTCCTTGAGCAGCATGCCTCCTGCCCAAAACGCCGAAAAATCGACAAGATGTGTATGATGGAGTGCAGAGATGGTGGAGGCCAGATTCCAGGCATGCTGCCATTGCTAATCTTGATGCCGCCAACACAGCCAGTCTACAAGTGCTTGCTGGTGCCTTCACTAAACCGCGCTTGCAAAGGCTCCATCGTGACCCTCAAGGTTTGGAACCTCTCATAGATAGTGCTTAGTAATAGCAATACTAAAGTAATAGTAGTCGGAATAGTGATAGTCATAATAAGTTTAATAGTAATAGAAATATTAATAGTAATAGTATAGTAATGGTAATCTATTAACTTGAATCGAAAAAATCTTGATCAACCCCAGCTTTTCTGTCACCACCGATCACAACCTTCTCAGAGCCAAGACAACACTATAAGGACCACGAATGGTGTGAGTAGTGATGATATGAGTGTTTCCCAAAATTAGGGGTGCCCTCTTGGGGGTCCCCGTAATGCGGATTATAGTGTTTTGGGGGTCTATACTGGGGTGACCTTACTTTGGGAAACTACCCCATATAGGGTTTTGGGTTTGAAGTTTGTTTTTTACGGCCCCTGTTTCCGCTTAGCAGATCGGGTTCAGAGTTTAGGGTTTAGGGACTGCTCCTTGTCACTAGAGCTTGCCTCCCCCGTATAGCCTACTCGGGGTCACTATAATGGGCTTTGTGGGATATAGGTGATATATTAGGGGATATATTGGGATAATGGAAAAGAAAATGGAAACTACTATTGAGGGTTCAAGGTCTAAACCCTTCTGTCACAGTTTAGACAAATATAAGCAAGCCATTGGCAGGATATTTGAGGCTGAGATTCTGACGCATAGGGGATATATTGGGGATATATTGGGATAATGGAAAAGAAAATGGAAACTACTCCGAAACCTTTTCTGGTACAGCAGGTCCAATAGGTATGCATTGAAAAACATACATACTCTGCACTTGTTTACTTTATGTGCACTGGCTATCACGCCGAACAAATGCGGTTTCTAGGCTACAGTAGCCACGCTTCATAGAAAGTGCAAGGAACATCTGAATTCTCTATGATTGGGGATTGATGTCGGGTTTTCTGGTGCTATGCCATCCTCTGCCTTTTAACAGCGGTATGAGCAAGAGCATTGCAAGTGATCATCATCACCTACCCAATAGCAAGCGCTGTTTAATCCATCACCGAGGTACAGCATGATATTTGGGCTCCGCGGCAACGGCGATCTCTGCCACGGCCGGCGAGCAGCACTGGCGGACGGCGCCTATTTGTTGGTATCGGCATGACTCATTTTGGCCTTTCTACGTAGGCTGCTGCTACAAATAATGTTTGTAATGGGCACAGTAGGAGACTAGTGGTTGCAGAAGTAACTGCGGTCGCTAGCCAAGTCTCGACGACTAAGCATGCCGTCTGATATAGCACCATCGACAAAAAGAAATCATTCAAGCAGTTGCACCGTCCACATCACTCCAATAAAATGGCAGTTGCTCTTGTGCTCCAGTACTTGTGATGCAGCGTGCGGTTGGATGACAACAGCAACTTGATGCAGGCATTGAAAAAAACAAAGCAAAGCCAAAGCACGGAAGTTCCATGGGCAAATAGGAGTGTGCCAACGCCCCCTGTATGCAAAGAAACATTCGCATCCTCCTTTTATAACTCGCAAAGAAAAGACCGAAAGTTTTGAGAAACCTAAAATCCCAAGCCCTATATGGAGGTTTCCCAAAATTAGGGGTACTTTTTTGGGGGTCCCAAGAATAAGGATTAGAATATAGTGGGGTCTATATTGGGGTGCCCTTAGTTATGCAAACTACCCTATGTCTCTGTATGCAAGGGACTTGCCATGCTTTGAAACCTTCCAAGACATCGGCCAGACATGGCCTGCAAGTCCCTGATAACCCTCCAAGGGAAAGCAAAACATAAACCCATTGGGGTAATGTTAGGGTTACATTGGGATAATGGAAAATCAAATGGAAACTACTATTTAGGAGTCATATAGGGATTATATTGGGGTGATATAGCTGAGTAGTGTTTTTTTAGTGGTTCAACCTAGTAAGATAATATTCCTGATATAACAGACTATACCCCAACAGGAGGATATAATCTTACTCTATATTGGGTACCATAGTATCCCCAAACAACTTCTACTCTGCTGATGCATCCAGGAAGCTCTTAGCCAGTTTCCGCGCTTCGGCCTGTGATGCATCAGCTCGCATATGTGGTAGGCTCTTGAAGATCAAATTCCTGAAAGTTGGTGGGATATCTCCTGAGATGAAAGCCTTTTCAATGTCTATTGAGGCATTTGTGAGACAAAACCCCTGGAGAATATGGGTTTTCAAACAAATGTCCCGGGGTCATGCTTATACTCTGATTGCCCTTCTGTCAATTTGGTACCCTTCGTTGAAGGTTTGCAAAGGGTTAGCTGAGCATGTAGGACTTTGACATTGTTTTTGTTCTAGCATAGCCACTGAAATAGCAAGAATTGAAAGTGAAACCCACTGCAGTATAGACTCTGCAGAAGCAGGCATAACAAAAGGCAAGTGCGGGATATTCTCCAACAGAGTATAGTCCTCCTTAAGTAGATAGAAGATGGGTTATATGAGGGGATCTTATTATAATATATCCAAAGCCCTATTCTATCTACCTAATGGGGATTATACCCATGATCATGACAAGGTCCCAGTCATTTAAGGGTTTAGGGCTATGTTGCGGTCATATTGGGCTAAGGGAGAATCAAATGGAAAAGAAAATGGAAAGCGATATGGAAACTAGGAAATGTATAGGGGTTATATTTGAAGTGGATAAATTGGGGTTATGAATTGTGTTGAACACCAAGCCGAAAAGCACTTGTGCGTTTGAACGTGCTCTGCACTTGAGTAACCAAAGTCAGCCCGTGCCCGAAGAATGGAAATACCAGCCTCTTTGAACCATCAATCAGCCGAGTGCCAAGGGCTTGATGGATGGAAACACTTGTTGTATCCGAAACCTATACGGATCTATATGACTCGAAGAAACCAATTTCCTCTTCACAGATCGCTTTGCTGTCCATCGAGGTCAGAGAGGGCAACAGGAATGTTCAAAATTCATACAGTTATATCATATATGTTGGATTCCCATCTTCAGGATAGGCCTCCTCCGGCCACGCGTCTTTCAAGCCTCCGAGAATCCCCTGGCAGCTGGCGAAGGCACACATGCATTTGCTACATTACATACTCATAAAGAGGAACGTCGCACAAGAAACAATGGTGGCAATTCCGAACGACACTCTGAGAAAGAGAAGAAGACTTGCAGCAACTCTTGAGCAACGCACTCAGTTTTGACGGTGAAGACTGTAGAACCCTTCAGGAGCTGAGGCCACCTTTGGCCACTCGGAGGTCAAAAGGATGTCAATACCTGCCCAAAACTGAAGTCATTCTACCACCCACAACGCTGTGAACATGCCTGGCCTCCACTGTCTCCAATCTCCTCACACAGGCGCTCAACCGCGAGTGGAGTGTAGCAGCCATCCAGAAACCTGTCAGCAGAGTCCCCGAGCCCGCCAGAAGGATGCCGGTCGAGCTTGAAAAAGCATGTTTAAACTTTGATGCAATGTAGGCCCCACACAGCTGCGTTTGCATAAACTCCTTCTTTTTCTCTTTTGCCTGGCCACCGCAAGGATTAACAACAATCAGAACGCACACCTTCCGCTCCATAGAAGCCACGATGTCGTTTTGAGTCGGGTGGGATAAGCGGCTTGTGGCGCTCTGTGAATCTTACTCGATAGTTGGTGAAGTCTTGCGAAGTACCTGCACTAAACCATGCAATAACCTTTTTGCTGGCTATGACCTCCCTTCACACGCCTCGCAATATCGCTACATACGAACGCGTTAACAATGACCTGCCAAACCCTACACAAAGAGTCGCCCACCACTCAATTTCTCGCCAACTGATGGTCGCGAGAGACTACTGACATTTGACCGGGCAACGCCCCTGCCAAATTCCTGTGCAGACCCTCCACAAGCCCAAAATAAGCCTCAGTCTTGAAGTCCTTTTCTGGATAACCCCTTGACAACTCCTAGCATCTGTCCTCTTACAAACTCTCTCTGCGCCTTGAGCTCCTCCCATGATGGGCCCGAGCTCCTGCTTCCGTCTTGGACAGGATTCCAAAAAATAGCAATGTGGGGCATGCTTGCAATGCTCCTGGAAGTCTCCGAACGCTCGACCCGCAGGTGATTCTCTTGGATCAGCTTTCAACATGACAAACCCTCAAGGTAAGCTGAGCTTTCATTCGCTGGCTGCAGCGCCTGCAGCGATGGATACAATGGTAATGGCTAGGACGAAGTGAACAAAGGTACAGGCTAAGTACAAGCAGGAAAGAAAAGACTGCCGCCATCTGACCAGCTGGTAGTCCCTGACCAGATGCCAGTCTCTGTCTCAAGAGGCGTACCCCGAAATTCAAACATCCAAAGGAGAACCCCAGAGAACCCCTGCCTCTAAATTCTGGCAACTCTCGACAGTAGACGTCCTGCTCGATGACTGGACTGCCTCGAGCGGCGGGGGTGCCCCAGCGAAAAGCCCTCGGTCGCCCTCCTGGCATCTGCATGGTCTGGGTGTGGTCGAGCGTCAACTTGGCAGAAGCCATGCAGCTTATGGTGTTGAACATGGATGAACATCAACAAGCCACGTTCTTGGATCAGGAATACTGACAGCAGCTGATTCATCCCTCAAGTTGGGTCGCAGTCCTGCCATTCTTCCCGGAATGTGAATGCTGTGCTGTGCTGTCCTGCTTAGTTTGCAGCCCGCAAAGGCTCTGCAATATTCCGCAATACTGCCGTCCCGAGATCTTTGAGAATGAATGACAACGCATTCTCGTCCACAGTTGTCAGCTCAGAGTACATAGTCTGCAGATGTGAGTCCTGTTGCTGGTACATATTTCGTACGAAAGCGATAATGGTAAGAATGTTTTTTGCTCTGCGTGCTGCTTTGTTCTGCGTGTTGTTTCTGTGTTTTGTTAAGTATGTTGTATGAGATTTTCTGTGGGGAGCAGAATGGAGCACACGGAGCAGAAAAAACAGGCCCACGCTGCGTTTTTTGGCTCCAAGCGCGCTCTGCCCTTTGTTCTGAGGGAAATTTCCAAACACTGACAATTTCTGCGTTTCTTGAGAACTCTAAGTATTTTCGGAAAATGTTGGATTTTCGTGGAAAACCTCCTCAACTCGTTCAATTGCTCCTGGCTGTTTGTCGGAGATCCCAACTGTGGCATTTTCTCTGGAGGACCACACAGATCATACGGATCAAAAAAAGCGCTCTGGGTGCTTCTGCATGCGCCTGTCCCCTCCTCAGTCACTCACTTGCTTGTGGCTCTTTGATGGAAATCTCAATTTCTAGAGATCCTCTGTTACAGTATTCCCTCTGGAAAACCACGCAGCACATGCGCAGCAAAAAACGCGGATTCCAAGTGATAAGACCTGAAATCAACCATCCCAGCAGTATCACTTTTGGTAATACACAAAGAAATTGTACTTTAATTATTGATTTAAAGGCCTCTGCTGCATATTTGGACTTCAGGTCATCAGCTTGAGGCAAAGCTTGACCTCAGTGGCAAAGGAGAATGATGGTTTTACTGTGGGACCGTTTTCCGGGAATCCGGGGCTGCCGGTGGTGGTGCATTACTCTAAATAACCCAGCCAGGCCCTGTACGGCAGCAAGAGACCCCGGCCTTACTGGTGTTAGTAAGGAATGAAGGAATATGATCTCTATATAATCCCTATATGATAGAGTCCCTTATTCCCTACTAACCCCCAGTAAGGAACTGTAGCAATGGCGCAACCCTAGCTCCCAGCTGATCGCCCTTTGTTGTGACAGACACATGTTGGGACATGGTGTTAAATCTCTCCCCGCGGGACAGTGCTGCTTTTATGAATGAACCATGGACCTAACCCCAAACCCTAAACCTTGAAACAAGGTTGATTTGGGACTTTCCTAAAATTAGGGGTACCTTTTTGGGGGTCCCTATAATAAGGACTATAGTATATTGGGGTCTATAGTGGGGTCCCCTTATTTTGGGAAACTACCATTTCTGATCATGCTAGAACTGAGTCGAGCTCAAGAGCCTTCGTCTCCCCTCCCTGCATTGAAATGGCAACCATGCGTGAACATTGTCTAGCAGTCTGACATTCAGCTCAAGCCTGTGGTGTGGCCGGCTAGGGACCTAGAGGGGGGTTTCCCAAAATTATGGG